CTGGGTTAGACTAGGCGGATCCGGCCATCTGAGAGGAGCCATTCGGATCACAGGAAGGCTTGGCCCCCCCCCAGGTGATGCCCACAACCGTAGGCCAGAACCCACCAAACAATCAACAATCAATATCATCACCCATTATTACCTTATTTCATCAGTATTCCCAGATGAGAGTGAATATCTGACAATTAAGAATTCTCACTATCTTTACCTACCTACCAAAATGACGACATTTACCACCCGCGACGCGACCGTGACTTTTCGCGACCAGTCAGACTACACCGGTTGGATGCTACAACTGCAAGCGCGTTGCATAGCACACAATATTTGGGATAAGATTGACCCAAAGACTACTACTCAGCCCCTCCGGAGGCCTACCGACCTTAGAATCCCAATCCTTGCTGACTACCAAGCAGCTTCTGGCATCGAAGAGCCAGGAAGACTTAGCGAACTATCGAACAGCGGACAGAAAGCGTTTAAAGAAGACCTCGAGTACTATCGCATGTCGATGGAGCAGTACAAAAGCGACCGACACCAATACGAAAAGGAGCAGTCAAGCTTCCAGCACATCATGACCCTGATTCAATCAAGCGTGTCACCGCACCTACTACGCACATGCTGTCTCCCAGACAAGACACTTCGCGAGTGGATTATAAACTTGAAGCTTACAGTTGGAGTGAGCGATCGCACCGAGAAGGAGCGAGCTAGAGAAAGATACCTAGCATCCCTCAAACCAATGAGGACCCCAAATCAATGGGACACGTGGCTGGCGGAATATGACCAAGCCGCCACGGAAGCTGAAGTATACAGCGTACCAGAAGTGTCACAACTTGATGCGATGTCAAAGGACTTTCTGGTGGCCGTCCAGAAAACAGCACCTATCTGGGCCGTAAACTTCCAAGAGAACGGACGATGGGCAGCTGGGATGAGCCGAAAGGAGATGATGAATCGGTTCCGAGAGCACATGATGATGCACCATCCCCTTTTTAGATCAGGGAAGCACAAAGCAGCTATGGCAGCTTACGATGAAAGCACACATGATGATACAACTCTCGCTGGAGGTGCATCCTACCAGCCACTGCGCGGGACGCCGAGCAGTGGGGTCACCGCGCCATCTACCAACTTGAATCCGGGGAATACCTCGCAAACAAAGTATCGGGGACGTCCTCGTAAACAACCACAAACCTCACAAGCCATGAGAAAGCCAGCACAGAAGCGGTCCTCAGCGCAAAGTGAAGGGACTACCTCCGGGCAGAAATGCCCAGCGTGTTATCAATATCATGAACTCAGAGCATGCTACTATGTCAATCCAGACCTAGCGCCAGAGTGGTGGACACCAAATGAAGCTACAAATGAACTAGTACAGTTTAAATGTAAGAATGATACACAGCTGCAAGGGCTAATCCGCGGACAATGCAGATCCCGTACACGCACGCCAGCTCTGAAACAATCACATACACCAACGCCGGAGTACTCTCAGTCACCAATCGAATGACTAGAAGGCCGAAAGATTACGGACGTAGACGCCGCGTTCACTACCATCGCACGGAGTGGGACAGCCGAGCACACGTACCCTCTCGCACGATCATTCATTCTTGATTCAGGAGCGACGTGCCACATCACAAACAATCCAGATCGGATATACAACTACCGCCCGTCATCATTAGGAGACTACATATGGGCTGGTAGTATAAAGATTTGGATACGGGGATACGGGACCACAGACATCACGCTGCAACATCAGCATAGGACAACAAAGCTAGTGCTGCGAGATGTGGCAATCTGCCCAGAGATCGTATGCAATCTAGTGTCCTTCCGACTGCTACGGCAGAGAGGAATCTGGTGGGATACCAAATCAAACCCAACCAACCTACGAGGACCAGACGATCAAGTTATTGGCAACCTCTTAGAAAATTTTGGCCAGTGGGTATTAGAGTACAATCCTCTAGCCCAGGCATTTGTCCACACAAAAGCCATCACAGCACGCACGCAGCGAGGACCAAAGAAGGCCTCAGCGATGCTGTGGCACAAGAGACTCGGCCACCCGGGACCAGCAGCAATCGAGCATCTCGTGCAGCAGTCTGAGGGGGTGCGAGTTCAAGGGGTGACGACAGTACAATGCGACTCCTGCGGAAGAGCCAAGTCCAAGAGACAGATACGACCACAGTCCGCAACAATCAATTAAGTGGGTCCTAGAAGGTTCAGATTGGATTGATTGATTACCGCTTTAAGCCTAGTAGTTACCTATAGGAGTTTAAGCCCTACCTAGATAGGTAAGTGGGTCTAGGAGAGTGACCGGATTGAATTGATTGTTGCGGAGTCTAGATACGACGCCTACCGCGAACAAACGACGAAGGCCCAGGAGAGCGACTTGCTATCGACTTCCATACATACGAAGTCCAGGCGATCACAAAAGAGAAGAGCCAAATGCTCATTACCGATCGTTTCTCAGGCCTCCAATGGGACTTATACTTTACCGACAACCGGACAGCCAAGTCTATTATCCGGCTGCTCACAACTTTCTTCTCATTTATGAAGAACCATTACAATATATCCGTTAAGACCATAGAGTCTGACAACGAGATCACAACTGTTAAGCCAGATGTCGAGCGATGGCTGGCAACACAGGGCATCAGAGTCGAGCCCTCAGCCCCAGACACACAGGCACAAAACGGTGGAGCCGAGCGCTCAGGGGGTGTGAACAAGGAGAAGGCACGCGCAATGCGACTTGACGCCAATCTCTCTTGGGAATTGTGGCCAGAAATCACTCGAGCCGCAGTCTATCTCTACAACAGAACCCCAAACTACAACAATCACTGGAAGACACCATACGAAGTCTTCTTCACACGAGTAGCTTTTAGCAACGGAATAGTCACATCTCTCCGAAAACCAAACCTCACTCATCTTAAGGCATATGGCTGCAAAGCTTTCGCCATGACAGACGACAC